TTTTTTTAAAGGGGTTCTTCATGAATAGACCCTTGGAGGTGATGCGGGGTGTCCATTCACCACCTTGACTGTGGAATATGATATTGCCAGAGGACATATGATTTTCTGGCAATGTTTTCTATGGTACCAAAGTGTTTCATGTAAAACTAGGCGATTGCCAGAGGACATTTACGACCTACCAGATGCCCTTCAGGATTTCTGCCGAGTACGAACACGTTTCTGCGAACGGGTACCCGTGCGGACGAAGGAACACGAGCAACTAAGCTGATGGTGATGTTCCCAAAGGGCACCATGTGATGGTGTTGATTTGGATCAAGTTCTTCGCTTTGTTAAAGCCAGTCGCCACAGCTAGTGTGGGGGGGAAAGAAGGAGGCCAGTTTTTTGCACCAAAAGTCCCCATAGTTGGTTTGGTCATGGTAGGAGTCTTTCGGCTTTTGACCTCACGTTCCTTTTCCTTACGTCACCCGCAAGCGATTTGCAGCTCAGTCCACTCGACGCCTAAAACTCGCTTGGCACGTTCAGACCTGTGTGCTGATCACAGGTTCCGCTGATGGAAAGGCAAGGGCCAAGTGCTGAAGAAGCTGTTTCGTTGGCCAAGCGGTTTGGCAAGTTCAGAATTGTTGCACAGCGACTTGTGCACACCTTAGGTTGATGCAGATGTAGAACCAGCGAAGACGCCAAGAAAAAGGAGATGGTCAGTCAACGCTTTCCAATCTTGAAGCAGCCCAGCATATGTTCTGGTCTTTGATCCAAAGCGGCATTTTTCAGAGAGACCAGAAGGGAGCGAAGGTGTCCCGAAACCATCCATTTCCCAGTCTTTTGGCGGTGGAGAAAACACCTCTGTCTCAACAGCTCTCGAACGTTCTCGAATGTCTTAGATGTTCCGGCTAACCTCGAACGCCCTCCGTTTTCCAGTTCACCGGCGCCATAAACACCGTGACGCGCCACGGGGCCTTGGTACAGCGGCAGAATCAGGCAGGCAGGGTGCAAGTCTTTTGAGGTTGAATCTGTTTGGGAACTGGAATTGCAAAGTGTTTTTTGGGCTTCACCTTGATGGATACCGTATGCATAGACTTGCATCTTCAGCTGCTCAACTTTTTGAAGACATGCAGTTTGACAGAGTTTCGCTGTTCCTGGTTCCTATCACCGAACTACCCTTGATTTAGGAAGCACCAGTGCTCAGGACAACTCTCAACAGTTGTTTTCAGGTAGGGTGGACTGTCACAATTCGGTCCTGTCAGTCCTGTTCGATCTCCCTCTTGGAACATCTGGGCCGTTGTGACTGCCATGGTCGTGCTCCGCCGGTCCTTCGCGCTACTTCATCCGGCTGCCCGGCTGCACTTGTGCATGCAACCCGAAGGTGCAAGGACTCAGCCGAAGAAGTGCAGTGAATATTAAGAACATGTAGGTGCGTATTAACATCGGGAGACCTCCCAGTTCGACCCCCTGGCAGAAAGAAGATCTCTATCAAAAGACACACTGAGCTGTTCTGGCATCATGGAGCGACCGAAAGTGACCCTGGGGCCCCCTGGGTGGGAAGGCTTTGCGAAGAAACGACAGGGAGTGTACGTTAGGTGGATGGCATGGCCGCTTGGATGAGCATGTTCCGAAGACCAAAACAGGTGGTGAACTCCACTTCTGTGATGATTTCAGGGAGTGTAAGGAAGAATTTTGGGGAACATCTTGGAAAACGATGAATCATTGTGTCACGTCCTCGCTCTTTCATGGCCAGCTGGTTCAAGCTTCCAAGAGCCTCAGCCAACCTGTCCTCGCATGGGGGGTAGATGGGTGGACATCTATTTGAACATCGCTGCGTCATCGTGGAGTCCAGATCTGGAAGTGACTCGGGATGGGACACCTGCATGCCTGAAGGTCAAGGGGGAATTGGACGTTTCATTCAGAGCCACGTGCAATGAGCTGTGCCTCAGCTTTGATGTGTCCAAGCAGGTCCGCGTGAAGTTGACAGGAGAGTCCGACGTTGGCATCACTCTCACCGATGGGTTCTTCACAGCTGTCCACGGTGGATGTGCAATCAACCAAATCCTGACGACTCCTGAGCGCGAAAGGTTCCCATCAGTTCGTTTGCATACCAATTTTAAGGGAATTGACGCCACTCTTGAATATGATCTTCCCATCGGAAAAACGCTCTGGAAGATCGTGTTTCAAGGCGAGTTGTCTCATCATGTCACAGTGGCCTTTGAGAAGCACATCCACATCAGCGGCAGGATTGATTTGTCCGGTCGCATCACAGTCACAAAAAGGAATGAACAGGATGACTCATCAGATGATGAGGGGCTGAAGGCTTTACCGGTTCTGTTGTCACAACTTGCGAGTCCTTTTGCACAGATGTCAATTTTAAAATGAGGACTTCATCAGCATCATTAATCCCCAAAAACGGGGCGCCAGATCCAAGCGGGTGCTCACAAGAAGCATGCAGCATGCCAGCCAGAGCATGCCACAGACAGAGCATGCCACAGAGATCGAATGAGGCAGCATCACAAAGGACCCTTTTGTGCAGAATACATAATCTGGTACATCAAGACAATCACCCAAGAACCCAATTTACTTCGAGGAGTGACCGAAGATGATGGAAGATTTTGAAGAACTCACAACAGTTGCTCATCGCCCACAATTCCTGCCCTTGTGGGCCATGAGAATCACATGTTCATGACCCAAAAAACCTTTTATCTCATCTAGTTGCTCTCCGTCTTCCGCCCGCCGCGACCGGCCTCCAAGGCGAGGAGCGATCAGAGGCGAACGAGGCGCGGACGTCAGGTGGAGCACAATAGGAGTCACAAAGGAGTGATGGAGTCCCATCCAGTGAGTGCATGGATCATGGGTACCCCTAACCTCCAAGTTCGGCACCCCTTCGTGACTGCGCTTTTTTCCCAAACAGTCTGGCAACACTAGGGGTTCTTACGGTAGTTGTTAAGGACGGGTGTCTAATCGGAGGTGCTCGCATCCGTGTCCGGCTTATTTACAGTACATTCATTCACCTCGAGATCTTCGAAGTGCATTTCGACTGCGCAGGCTCGCAGAATCTGGTGGGCTGCGGCGGGTGCTCTTCAGGACTGCGTTCTCGTTGTAGTGCCGTGCACATTTTTGGTCACTTTTCGTGGCAGGCGCAAGGGAAACCTCGTTTTTTGGTTTAAAGTCGTGACAGGTGCAGGAGATCAGAGCTGTTTTATGTCAATGTGCAAGATTTTGTGGCAGGCTCAGTACTTTGGACATGGCGGTGGTCTTCGGTGTGCTCTGATTTCGTCGCGCTTTTGGACGCGTGGCTCGTTTTCAGAAGTCGGAGGAAGTCTCGAGACAAAGCTGCGTCTTGAAGTGCTCTTGCTGCGAATCGCCTTTGTAGGGGCTGCACGATGTGAGTCTTGATGTGCAGATTTTGTGGCCGGCGCAGTACTTTGTGGAAATAGAGGTGCAGATTTCAAGCCAGGTGCAGCGCATTGTGGACCTTGAGGTGCAGATTTCTTGGCAGGCACAATGCTTTGCGGACCTTGAAGTGCAGATTTCATGGCAGGCTCAGTACGTTGCAGACCTTGACGTGAAATTCGTGGCACGTGGAGTACCATTGTGGGCTTTGAAGTGCAGATTTGGTGGCAGGTGCTGCAAATTTCCTGGCTGGCCGGCACTATACTTTGTGGACCGTGAAATGCAGATTTCCTGTCAGGCCACCACCATCACCACCCATCAACATCATCATCACCACCATCACCATCACCACCATCACCGCCATCATCACCACCATCACCACCATCACCACCATCATCGCCGCCATCAACATCATCATCACCATCACCACCGTCGTCACCGCCGTCGTCA